GTAATACAGCGTACCTGACGGTGTCTACGTGGTTGTACTGAGCAGCATAGTGAAGAGCAGTCTTCCCGTTATGAACATTACACTTGTTAGGGCTGGCTCCAAATATACACATCAGCACCTACACCAGAAACAGTAACAGTCGTTACAGTGAAACAATGACATTTGAAGTAAACCTGTGAAAGGGCTAAAATGATTAAGGAGGACTTTGAAATATCAGAACATGGTTAACTATCATTCCATCATAATTACTGTATACTTAAATGAAATTGTAACTATTGTATAATAACATTATATTACAATTACAGCATTTTGTTTCCTTATTTTACATAGTGTGATTTCTGTGTTTACCTGATCAGTGGGTATAAAACAGTGATGTGTTTGTCGCTTTGAGACAGTAAGATTATTGAGAAGTAAGTAGAATGCCTTACAATAAATGTTTGCTGCAGTGTACATGTTGATTAACACAAATAACTGTGTCAACACTGATCAACATGAATATCCTAACCTGGACCGTACCTCACACAAGATTGGATCTCCTGCTTGGGCAGCCATCATTAGAGGGGTCATGCCTTTAGAGTTACAAAGCTCTACATCTGCCTGTTGTATTCTTACCAGCAGCATCAGAAGTGGTAGCTGGCACAGACCTCAAGTACAGAGAAAGAATACATAATCCAAGGTTAGGTCCCTATAGGATATTCAGAATTTGTTTACATGTTTTGAAATGGAATAGACAAAATATATTTAATGCTGGAAATATCAAATACTTAAATTGTTGAAGCCTTTCAGCTCCTTAAAATATTGGACTTTGCCATTTATTTGTTCAACCTTAATAACCCTTCACTCTCAGCAAACTACAGGCAAATTAAACTATATGATTCCAAGCGGTTTGGCTCTTGAGAAGTTGTTGAATGAAACTTTTGCTACAATGGACCACTGTGACTTTGAATGTGTGTTAAGATCATTGCTTTAACACACTTGATAGACATTCACCCCTAGCACAAAGTTCAGGCATACCATCATTACTTCAGGCCTTCTTTTCATAAGAGGAAGTTGTATTTGTGTCAATAACATTGATCCATATGTGGGTTGGTATTACGGTATATTTCAGAGCCTAGAATTAACCCAAGTAAGCTTCTAGCCATTCATACTGTTATCACATATATTCAAGAACCCGAGCACCTGTGAGAAAAATCGGTTAAAATAAAATAATGGTGGCAGACAGATGAACAACATAAAGTTACAGGTAAATGTACATTGTATTAGGTGAGCCAATAAAAACCTTAATCACAAGAGGCCAAAGTGCCTCAAAAGTCACCCAAGTTATATAATAGGTTGCTTAATTTCATTGTTGAGATGTGAAATGGAAATCAGAATAAGAACAAAGTGAAATACATTACTTTAAGTGTCACTAAAGGAAAAGAACTTTATTTGAATTAATTATTTTGCTATTGAGAAATATAATATCTATATTGTCATTTAGCCAATTTTCATCTTAGGCCCACCCCTGGGGTAGGTAAGGACCCTTTTTTCTGATACTATTTTATTTCAATTTCATCACAACTATTCCAACCAAGTTTGAATATTTTTTTACTCCCAAAGGTGTTATTTCCCTAGATAAAATGACCCACGGATAATGAAGATTACGATTTAGTTTAAGCTCCTATGGAGCCACATGTATGATGAAGTCACCATGCTTACCTCCCCTTACAGCCACATGTATGATGAAGTCACCATGACTGTTGCATTCTGTATTCACATTGAATTCGAACATCTAGAAAAGAGAATGTACAGGATAGGATGTTAATCTCAAAAAGACAAAGTTAACAACTTTATATTACATGATGTTTCCAGTCGATCAGCCTTAGTTTTATGTATAAAATGATCTGATGTGATAATGTTATCAATATATTCTATTTAAGAAAGACACCTTTACACTGCTGCTGACGACATTATAATGTTACCTGTAATCTTTTTTGTAGCTCCATCAGTGATCCAGCAGTGGTTGCCATTGTAAAGATGACGTCCTTGTCCTGTATACTTGGCTGTAGTAGGTGTGTCCTGCTGTATGACCCCCACACCCCTGTGACTTTTCCGCCTCCCCCATTCCCTCGCCCTCCACCAGTCTGAGTTTGGTACCTCACAGGTAAGGACCGCCGTATTTCATTACAAAAACAGTACAGGTCTGCTGTATTACCTATACACAAAATTGTTCCTCATGATTATATATATATATACATATATTAGGGACAGGGAAATTTCACCCGAGGGTCTTCAAATTGGCTAAAAGCCGAGGGTCTTCATATTGGCTAAAAGCTGAGGGTCTTCATATTGGCTAAAAGCTGAGGGTCTTCAAATTGGCTAAAAGCTGAGGGTCTTCAAATTGGCTAAAAGCTGAGGGTCTTCAAATTGGCTAAAAGCTGAGGATCTTCAAATTGGGTAAAAGCTGAGGATCTTCAAATTGGCTAAAAGCTGAGGGTCTTCAAATTGGCTAAAAGCTGAGGGTCTTCAAATTGGCTAAAAGCCGAGGGTTTTGCCAAATTTGAAAATTCTGAGGGTGGATTTTCCCTATCCTACACCCTTGAGCATGAAAGAACATTTTTCTCTCATGACCCATATTTGCAAACAGAGTTTGCACAGAAAATTAATGTCAACTTTCTAACATGTATGGTTATATATCCTAAAAGGTTTTTATTTCATAATGTCGCCTGGTACTTCTCTCTATTACTATCTCAATCTTTCTCCTAGTTTCTATCTCCCTTTTTCTACCTTCATTTTGCCATTTTTTTTGTTCTCCTTCTTCCTATTTTTGTCTTTATCTTATTGTTTCTACCTCTTTCGATTCCATTCTTTCTTTCCCTTTTGATCTGGGCCAAGAGTTTACAATTCCACAAGCTAGACATCTTTGGCTAGAAGATTTTATTTCAGGGCTATAATTAATATTTTCAATATTTACTATTAAAATATGGGTCAGGCCTGAATACTTTTTTCATAATCTGTCTGTGAGCTGGTACTTAAGATATGAATTTGTAATCGGCAATCCCTTGTACCTCTCTCCTCACTCTTTATTTCTATTTTCTCTCCCTCCTCTTTTTATGAACCTAATAACATTCAGTATAACTTGAAGGATAAAAAGCAAAGACTACAAAATATGTGGTCAACAAATTCACACAACAGAAAATGCTGAATAAATTTATAGCAATTTTTCACCATAAAAAGTTATATTTCAATACGGCCTTACTCACCCTGTTTGTCTTTCAGAGAAGGTGACACGCCCTCACGGACAAGATACTGGATAATCTCTGACCTCCGGAACAAACAGGCATGGTGCAGTAACCCAGCACCGTCCTCTAACAAGCTGTCCACACCTTAACATCATCATAGTTTATGGTGTTTCAGAAACATTGTCATAGAAAACGGTTACAGAAACATTGTCATAGAAAACGGTTACAGAAACATTGTCATAGAAAACGGTTACAGAAATTTTGTCACAGAAAATGGTTACAGAAATTTTGTCACAGAAAATGGTGTTACAAATAGAAACATCTAGCATTATGTATTTAAAACAAGATACGGGTCAATGAATTTGAGATGTACAGGGTTACACATGGTAACTTGATATGCATAATATAACATACGTTCTAAATTAGCTGAAGGTTTGAAAACAAACAAAACCCTGTCTATGATGACTGCCAAAAGCAGTTTCAGTGTTTCTAGAAAAGAGGTTTCGATAGACAAATCGGTTCCAAAAAGATTGCAATGAAATATGATAAATAATTATAACCGATCAGTAGTGATATACTTATGTACTTACGCACAAGTGATAGGTCAATGAGAGATTTTAGGAGCTGTAGAGGGCTAACTGATACTGCCATCAGTGTCAGGTCCGATATGGCTGTTCTTAGAACTGTGTTCTGTATTCCGTCCCGAAGCAATTCCTTTAGATTCCCATCATCAAGCCAGAGGGACATAAACGGTACAATATTATCTCCATCTTGATATTCACGCATTGCCAGAAAAGGCCTCCAGAAAGTGTTACAAATGATCAAATGCTTTTCATTGCCTTCAATGAGATCAGATTGTGTTTGAGAAACAGACGCATCAAATTCAACATCACAGTTATCTGAGGTCCGACAAAACTCTGATTTGGAGAATGTGTGAATGTGATAGGATTTACAACAACACAGAGAGCCATCTTTATTCTTTCCATTTGTCATTCTCTCATTTATTTTCTTGCTTCTTACATCGACCAGACTCCTAAATCCACTTGGCTGACTGACCTCATTCTTTGAGACGTTGAGAGAAGTTCTTTCCTCTAGGCCACTTGACATTACCCTATTTGAAGATTTTCCTTTTGACAAGTTACTGATATGGTGCCTGAAATTCCTCACCGTTTCTGACTTTGAGGATTCCTCATCTGCGTCGATATGACTGGTAGAAGCCGAGTTCCTGAGGGGCTGGGTCTGACAAGTGGGACCATTTGTTTGTGACTCTGCATACCTTAAATGTGGCTGGTATACTGTGTAGTGCCCTTTACCTGTGGCCACAACATGGACCGAGGAAAAGAAATCCTCGTGAGTACCTGTCATGACCGGGGTTCTCTGAGACTCAGACTGAAAAACACATGACTTACTGAAGGCCTCGTCACGGAGGTGGATAGGCATGTGTCGGGCATTGCTAAGTGATATTTGTTGTGTGCGAAATTCAGTTTCTTCTACTGTATTGGGTTGGAAACTGATCATTCTAGGCTGGCAGGTTTACAGGGGTTTATATACCAGCATGTGATGGACAGCAACATTCTAGGCAGGTTTGTATTATACATTTTTCACTTTGTCTTTCTACTGAATATTTCAACATTTTTCCATTGACAAACAGTAACACTGATCCCTAACTATGAGGTAGTATATTATGTTAAGTAATATCACAAACATTGTACATGATCCTTCACATAAAACAATGTGTGGCAATTAACTGATATTTCCTTATTTTCAGATCATTTGAGATTGTGAGATGTAACACATCATCGATTATTAATTGGACCAGCAGGCATTTTTGGTGAAAGTTTTATAAAAAATGATGTGTGGTAATATTGGAGGTAAAGGCGAGACGGGCAGGCGTGTCCTGGACATGGCGATGAATATATCAGCAGAAAGCACTCAGGTGGAAGGTCCAATACATTCCTGGATAACTCTAGCAGGGAAGGTAAGCTGGTGCACTGTCATTATTTAAAGCTGGGTAAAGTACATTATACAATTTGTGTGTTTATAATGACACTATGTGTTATAAGGAGCTATGATATAGTGTATGATAACAGATGTTGAGTTCATCACTATCCTCTATATTTACATATATTACTGTATCTTCACTGTGATCAGGCAGTATGGGTGAAACGATGTTGAAGCAGCACCACTGTACGCATTAATGATATGGCAGTTCATGACAGGCAATAATCTGAAAATAGATCAAAAGCAGGTGTGTCTCGGGTTAATAATTGGTCTGGCTGCACAATTGTATCCACATAATTATACAATTTTCATATATATAAAAATTACATGCTTCGGTTATAAAAGTTTAATATTTCTCAAGGTACATGAATTCATCAGTCAGTATTAAGGACTGCAGGTCTTCTATATTCAATCAATTTTAACTAACTAATCAGTGTCCATCAAGGATGCATCGCTAATGATTGGTATTACAAGATGTAACACTTATAGGGTGTATTTAGTTATCCAACATCCTTAAAATCAATCAGGTATGGAAAATATATCTCAATACTCTCCTAACAAAAGTTTATGTAGTTGATAACAAGAATGGAATTAATAATTGTGTCATTTTTCTGGATAAAGTTCTGCCTGTTTTCAGTTCCCATCCCTCACTCAGGTAAATGTTGTGCACAAGACCTAAATTCAGTATGAGACATCCAAGGAGGTATGATAATTGGTATATAAAACATATTATGTAGGAGATACAGTTTATGAAATATGACGGGATCCTATTAAGTACTAGTGAACAAAGGGCAATAACTCTAAAAATAGTCGGACAGAAAATCAAGTACATGTAAAGTCTCTCCGAAGCAAATCTAGATGACTGAGTATATAAATATACTAACTTATATATAATAAACTTATTTAGAGTGCATGTACAGGCACATATTTTACGAATGACATTTACATTTAGGCTAGAAAACGTCTGTAACACATAAATTGCCCTTGAAGTTGGTAAACAGCAACAGTGACCTTGGCTTGGTCCTTGGGATATGTTGCAAATAATGTCAACTGAGGTATTCTAAACACTTACCCTTTAATGAAAATCTGTTGAATAATGAAGCTTGCAGAATCATGACAATTAACTGCATACGTCACGATGCAATGGGATGTACATGGCTAGCACTATATGCCCCCCCCCCCTCCCTACACCCACCCTATTGTATTGTTTGGGGGCGGGGAGGCATGGAAATACATTCCCAAAGTTACAGTATAATAACAAAGCAGGTTAATTAGCTAATTATAACCAAACATGGAATAAATGTGCCATTTTGCAAACAATTTTCATTTTCACTTTTATAAAAGTTGTATTTGTGATCAATACGAAACTATGACGAGGGGGCAGATCTAGGATTTCTGAAAGGCTGGCAGAGGGAAGCGAAAAGTTTTAATTACTATCCATGTACTTACTATAAAATACAGCAGACAAGGAGTAATGCAATTATCTCTCCTCAAAACAAAAACTAAAAAAACAGTTTATATTGAGGTCATCAGATCTGATTATAAGATGAAGTGATTTATACAGTTGGGGTGAGTTTTACTTTTTTTATTTAAGATTTATGTGTATGTTCCTAGCACCAAAGGAAAATTGGTGAGCAACAGAGGTATAAAGCTTATTAGTCTGGGGGAATATTCACTTTGGGAAAACATGATATGAAGTAAGGTACATTCTGGTGCGCTCTTGAAAAATCTTTCAGTCCAAAGCTCTACACTCTAAGCAAATTTTAGGAACTTTTTATCTTGTCTTTGTTTTAATATTTAACATTCAAAATCCAAATGATAAAGTAAAATAAAGGCTAAGTTTGTTTTGTACACAAACAGGAATTGAAAACTCAGGCATTGAAAACTGGTTTGTGAGCTTTCCAAAATGTCTGCTCCCTTTGTCAATTTAGCAAAGAGTGCAAATGACCAGTGTCTCAAATCTAAACCGCTGAAAACATTTTTTCTGAAAGATTTTGACCATGTGATCGATCAAGCTATTTAATCCATCCTCTACATTCTGATACATGTTCATTCAATTTCCGTCAAGTAACTTGAGAAAACATATACATGTAGTTGTACTATGCTTATGATTATGTGGCCTATACATACTTGTCTCTGTTTTGTGATTAAATGCAAATTGCAAATGCTGATCAATTATTGATATAATTTGTAAATAAATATAAAGAGGACATATATATGTACCATGATTCATTTTCAGATTTTCAAATAAATAAAAATGGGCCATCTTTGTTCCAATTAAATTATTGCATTTTTTTTACCGGTGTTGCCTCGGATTGTTTAAACTACTTCTTCTTTTAGCAGCTAAAATTTTGAGTAACTCAAATAGGATTGACAATATTGATATAATTTTGTTTGATCTCAGACCAAAGCAGGGGCGTTTCTAGGATATTTGAAAGAGAATCAAATCTTTGTGGACCTTTTTTTTGCTAAAAAACATAAAAAAATAATTGTGAAATGCACTAATGTAACGGTTCCTGACTTGGACTATGTATATTTCATAGTTAAAGTGTCAGGGTGTTTATGTGTTTAATTAATGAATATGATAAATTGACATATTCAATACAATATTAGCAGATAACGATAGTTTGTTGTTGTTTTTTGAAAGGGGGGGGCGTTCGCCCATTACGCCCTCACCTGGACCCGTCCCTGCGTAGTCAATATTTCACGTTAGATCGTAGTGGTCACCATAACAATCAGGTACTGCACTGTTGGAGCACCAGAAAATCTGGCTATATACCCAATGTACAAACAATGCTTTGGGACAGAAATGTTTTCACTGGTTATGATTCAGTTTCAAATAGATTTCTAATAGGATGGTTGAAACAAAAGGTGAGGTCCTCTTCAATGCTAAAAAAGCATATGACCGGCCCACGCAGCGGTTGTTTTCAACATTGTTGCTAGAATTATGCAGACAGTATGTAAATATGTTCCAGGAAGAAACCGAACAAGTCAGCTGATGTACGTTATAACTTAATAGCCTCTAGTGGTCTGTTTCCTGTTAAACAGATGAAGTGATCATTCAAAGACAAACAAAACAAGACTTTGATATCTTACCTTGTCTTCCATTTTGTCCGCTGTGCATGACACATCATATTGTGATAATGGACACTTATGACAATCTCTGTAAATAAACTAAGATTAATAAAAACACAACAGACAGGTGACAGGGTACCTGACCTGAAATCGTACTTGACCTCTCATTTACTTCCGCCTTAGGGAGCAATCAGCCTTTTAAAAATACTACTCATGAGAAAAGACAACATCTAATGAAAATTCGATTTAAACTTCTGCACAAAATATTAAGCTATGACATACAATTAGTTATCATAGAAATTTTATATTATGATAAAACCTTGCGATGTTATTTAACTTAGTAAACTACAACTAATGAGTCTCCCTCAGAAAATGGGACTTCCTCTTCACACAAAATGGTGCACAAGGAAAATAAGGAGCTGGCATTTGTAGGTGCTACATGGTTAAAATGAACGGTACCTCTGTCATTATGAGAACTGCTCAACAAAGCAATGTTTATTTTACCTAATTATTCATACTTATTATGTAAGTATCTCTTACAAAGTTGGAAAAAAATGTATTGTACCAGTGTTTACATATCAAAAAGTCGGTGACGTTTGCATGGGGGTCGACATCATTGACATTATTTCTGACACTGATGGCTATTTTTTGTCTTCTTCTTCCAAACCGCCTCTGGTGTATTGTTCTTTATCTTCTCTTTTTATCTCATTCGTCCTGTCAAAAAATATGCGATGATTTTGGAGTTCACAAATGCTTAATTTGACTATTTTGAAACGCATGAGTGAGCACAACCAACATATATATAGGTAATTACTATACATTGAGTAACAGTTACAGTACTGAAATATTGATGTGACATAGGCATTAGGACCATTCAATCTCTGATGAAATTCCAAGCCTGATCTTGGAGGTAGAATGACTGTTGCTATATATTTCTTGTGTTATATATTCTATGTCAGATGTAGGAACTTTATGATAAGATACATGTAGTTACAGTACTGTTTATAACTATAACAGTTCAATTGTTTAACTGAAATGGGGAATAAGGGGAGAGGACAAAAACTGGAATGCAATAATAAATGCAAAAAATCATCAAAAATCTCTTCACGCCCGAGTGCATTCCGTGCTTTGTCCTCACCCAGGAATAAGGCAGTATGAAAACATAAACTTCTTTTAAACACTAGGGACATAAATGGGAGTAATTCTCAACAGAATGCAATAAATAATACATGGGTTACATTTGAACACAAACATTGTGACATGTTACTCTAGATAAAAATTACATTCCATATCACTGACTTTGTTCTCTAATGACTTCAGTGTGTTAATTGAGAGTATTCAGTGCATATGTGACAGATGAGCATGAAGTTCTCTGTATGACATTTAAAGCTACTATAAGCACTCTGAAGAGAATGCAGTATTCCCTTGACAAAAAAATAGACATATTTCATTGAACAGCATTTGGACCCTGGTGTAAGTGCTGGTAAATGCAGGTTTGTCTTCCCACTGTGAGGTCAACTTGTGTTTGACCACCTAACAATTTGGGGCAATCCTAAGTGGTGAAAATATGTTACTACAAGCACCATATATTTGGATGTAATTTAGATTCAGACTCAGAGTAATTTCAGATGAATTACATGCAAAGATTCATTTCAGAAAATGCAAACTTTTATGTTACATTTGATCATGTTAAACATGGTAGTATTACTTATAATTTATCAGATCTGAAGAGATGGTTCTTGGACTAGACACACATGTGCACTAACTGTAGTTAGAATTTATTCAGTAAAATCTGAAGTAATAAGGTAAGAAATTAAGTTAATGTAATATTCCATTTCAGGTGAGATAAACATGCATATTATGTAATGGTGTTCATTTGTGATTGGTTTTCTTAATACTGTCATTGATTGGAGATGTTAAGAATTATGTAATTTAGAAGATTTTTTTCCCTTTTTTTTCAGGTACATGTACAACAATGATGACAGTGCTTGGAAACTTTCAAGTTATCTGTAAAGGATAGGAGTGTTCTGTATGCTATGATGCATTTAATTGAATTTCTATTGAACTTTCCAACTCATATGACTTGGTTATTACACATGCAAAACTGAGAGAAAAGATGTAGAAGGGAAAATCATCAGAAAAACCTTTGACATTATAAAGTTAATGTTCCAATGGAGATAATATTAGTCGTCTTGCAACCAAAGCAAAACATCAGTAGCCATGACTACCGGTCAAAATTTTACAATGTATTGCTTCTTGACCACAAAACAACCACAGGGGATAAGAGTAAGCCAACAAAGTATCTGCCCACATTCCCACTCACTAACATGGGGGAGGAACCCCGTGACGAAGTGTTGGGCAATCTGTACAGACTGACAGGCGGGGAACACGGCGGCATCAAAGGTAACATTTATGAAAATATACATTGTTCAATATAATAATATCCTTGCAAGAATTTTCATTTTAATAATGCCAAGAAAATATGTCTGTTTTGGGTTGCATGGACAAAACACTAGGGTAGGTAGATCGCCCTGCATCTGTCGGTCATTCCGTCCATCCTTAAACAATTCTTTCTCAAATTTCACTTGAAGGTTCCCCAAGGTAGCAGTGTACAGTATACGTAGCGTATGGTGGCCATGGGTGATATTTTTATACAATGAATAACTCATGTAATATAACATGTATCAAAGTTTAAAAAACAAATCGGCACTAAAATTGGCATATACATGATGAAGTTGACTGTAGGCTTCACATAAAAATTTAAAAACAGCAAAAAATCGAATTTGGTTTGAGACTTACATTTTTGGCCATTTACAAATCTGTGTCTACACAACAAAAGCTAGCTTTCCATGTAGTCTATTTTTGTACTCAGCACATGTGTAAATATTGTGAAAAATCCAGTTGAACGACCTATGCTAAAACGTGAGTATTTCTGTTACCGAGTGGATGATATTCAATTGAAGACAGGTTTTAAGGAAAAAAAATACGGGTCAAATTTTGGGTTAAAAACATGTGTTTTTTTTATTTTTTGGTGTTTTTTGATGTGGTAACCATGGTTTTCAAAATTCCCAAATGTTGGGAAATCACTTTTTGAAAAAAAAAATCATTCTTCTAAGAAAATGTATTCAAAATTTAGTTTGTAAATATTTATATATATGTAGGTGTGTTGTGCAGGATAAATCCACTATCCATGTTTATCTGATACTTGCCCTTTATTTCTACTGTACTCTGCTACCCAAGGTCCCTTGTTATGCATATTGTTTTTTGGGACTGATTACAAAACAAGGATGGCAGACATCCAGCCATCTTTAATTTGAGAGTAAAAGTTTGTTACCGCTATTCATCAGAAAGCACTGGAGGGATCTTTCACAAATTTCACTTGAAGGTTCCCCATGGTCCTTAGTTATGCAGATAGGATTTTGGGACTGATCACAAAACCAAGATGGCTGACAGGCGCCATCTTGAATTTTAATAGTTAAAGTTTGTTAGTGTTATTTCACAGAAAGGACTGTAGGGATCTTTCTCATATTTCACTTGAAGGTTCCCCATGGTCCTTAGTTATATATATCTAATTTTGGGACTGATCAGAAAATCAAGATGGCAGGTAGGTGCCATCTTGAATTTTAAGAGTTAAAGTTTGATAGCGCTATTTCACATCAACTGTGCATGTATAGTAATCTTAATATCGTGCATGTAGATTTTTTATTTATTTTTAAGAAACTTAGCAAATAGAATTCCTTTGATAAGTTGTGTAACTCGTCTCAGTTTTAACTTTATTTTAGGAGAGAGAGCTCTACTTATTCCATGGAACAGCAGGGACTTCCGTGCGTCTCTCTCCAGATTCTACTTGTTTTGTGTTCCAGTCAATTCCAGAGGTAATACATGATGTTAAACCTACAACTAAATGTGCTATATGTATTCGAAAGAATTTTTTGTTTTGCAGACATCTTGAAGATCCTGATAAAAATTCTTGAGACAGTTTTAACAGGTTTATACCACATACTGATTATTATTCTAAATCAAAATGAACGCTGTAATCACTTGCTGATACCTAATAAATTAACCTGCTGTATCAAATACTGTATCAAATACTGAACTGTTATATGTCGCAGACAACACAATGTTACCAGTAACCTATATAAAATCAGTCCTTATCTTAAAATTCCACAGATAATATTTTGTGAATCGCTCTGAGACGGCATACAAACAATGTTGTGATAAAGCTGTATATAAGAATCTCAAATTATTATTATTTTTAAAATCCAAAAGACTAAACGTAGAGGTAATAAATAGGTCACTATTTCTGAAAAAAGATAACACTGGATACAACCAGGCACATAGTGGGGTGGTTGCTTACCTGTGAGTGTTCTAGTCCTTTGAAAAAATGAGAAGATTTTGTAACAGACTCCAGATCTTATGGTTTATAGTTTTGATGTTGTAAAAAAATCCATATATCTTATCGCTTTTGGTTTGGATATTGTAACAAGCTGTATATATATATCATCTAATGGTTTATGGTTTAGACATTGTAACAAGTTCTATATATATATATATAATGGTTTATTGGTTTGGACATTGTAACAATCTGTATGTATATATCTAATGGTTTATTGGTTTGGACATTGTAACAATCTATATATATATATCTAATGGTTTATGGTTTGGACATTGATACAATCTGTATGTATATATCTAATGGTTTATGGTTTGAACATTGTAACAATCTGTATGTATATATCTAATGGTTTATGGTTTGAACATTGTAACAAGCTCTCTATATTGATATCTAATGGTTTATGGTTTGGACATTGTAACAAGTTCTATATTTATATCTAATGGTTTATTGGTTTGGACATTGTAACAATCTGTATATATATATATATCTTATGGTTTATGGTTAAGACATTGTAACAAACTCTCTCTATATATATCTAATGGTTTATGGTTTAGACATCGTAACAAGCTCTCTCTCTATATATATATATCTAATGGTTTATGGTTTGGACTTTGTAACAAGCTCTATATTGATATCTAATGGTTTATGGTTTGGACATTGTAACAAGCTCTATATATCTAATGGTTTATAGTTTGGACATTGTAACAATCTGTATGTATATATCTTATGGTTTATGGTTAAGAGATCGTAACAAGCTCTCTCTCTATATATATATCTAATGGTTTATGGTTTGGACATTGTAACAAGCTCTATATATCTAATGGTTTATAGTTTGGACATTGTAACAATCTGTATGTATATATCCAATGGTTTATGGTTTGGACATTGTAACAAGCTGTATATATATATATATCTAATGGTTTATGGTTTGGACATTGTAACAATCTGTATATTATTAGTTATACAGGTCTTTGGCAGGGTCGGCTCAGGGTACATAAGGTCCTGACAGCGAACATGAGACCATGTACCCTGCCAAAGACCTGTATAACGAATTTGTCATACTGCCAAGCAATGTTCAAGCGTTGTCGTCTTGTAAAGACTCCCATCCTGTTTCCTTGCATCGAGATAAAAATGGCCCAATGCCTCGTCTAATTTTGGCATCGAGAAGTCCTCAAAATCTGTGTGTTGCTCCTTTTCGCTTAAGTATGCTCTGAAGGTTTTGCTTGCTGAATTGTTACTTTTCTTTGTGTTTGTAGGTATAAGTGACGCCCGTTTTGTCTCAATTTCACTCTCCGTGTGGCTTGCAAACCGTTTCGCCATTTTGTTCATTGTTGACATTAGCAGACGAACGTTCTCCGGTGTGTTCGTTTCGAATCTGCGAGTTATCTCCCTTACAACAGGCGCGCGTGCTCTTATGTACCCCGGCAAGGATACTAACATAGCTTCAGGTACCTTGGCAATTCGACCAATCACCGTGCGACATTTTTCTTTGCAGTATGACAAATATATATATCTAATGGTTTATAGTTTGGACATTGTAACAAGCTCTATATATATATATATCTAATGGTTTATTGGTTTGGACATTGTAACAATCTGTATGTATATATCTAATGGTTTATGGTTTGGACATTGTAACAAGCTGTATATATATTTATATCTAATGGTTTATTGGTTTGGACATTGTAACAATCTGTATGTATATATCTAATGGTTTATGGTTTGGACATTGTAACAAGCTCTATATATATATATCCAATGGTTTATGGTTTGGACATTGTATCAAGCTGTATATATATATATATCTAATGGTTTATGGTTGGGACATTGTAACAAGCTCTATATTTTTATCTAAGGGTTTATGGTTTGGACATTGTAACAATCTGTATATATATATCTAATGGTTTATGGTTTGGATACTGTAACAAGCTCTATATATATATTTATCTAATGGTTTATGGTTTGGACACTGTAACAAGCTCTATATTGATATCTAATGGTTTATGGTTTGGACACTGTAACAAGCTGTATATATTTATCTGATGGTTTATTGGTTTGGACATTGTAACAATCTGTATATATATATCTAATGGTTTATGGTTTGGGCATTGTAACAAGCTCTATATTGATATCTAATAGTTTATGGTTTGGACATTGTAACAAGCTCTCTCTATATATATCTAATGGTTTATAGTTTGGACATTGTAACAAGCTCTATATTTATATCTAATGGTTTATTGGTTTGGACATTGTAACAATCTGTATGTATATATCTAATGGTTTATGGTTTGAACATTGTAACAATCTGTATGTATATATCTAATGGTTTATGGTTTGGACATTGTAACAAGCTCTATATATATATCTAATGGTTTATTGGTTTGGACATTGTAACAATCTGTATGTATATATCTAATGGTTTATAGTTTGGACATTGTAACATTCTGGATATTTATATCTAATGGTTTATGGTTTGGACATTGTAACAAGCCCCGTCTTGGCTTCTTTTTGCCTGTAGACAAGCTGAACAAGACATTTGTGGAGAAGTCTCCAAACAGTCCTGGGTTCTTCTCCCTAGACACAATGGTGGAGACGCTGAACAATGGCATGACCAACTACCCTCCTCCGACACAGACATTCATCTCCCAGCTGGAGAGGTACGCCACACTAGTTCAGTCACTCATACTGTGACTACTACCGTGACCTATAGTACCCCACTCATGAAACAGTATGTCTGGAGCATACATTGTACTCTACCGTACCATTGACATAAGTCTCCACTTAAGTTCCCTCCAAGTATCTGTTCTTTGACCAACTAAGTACAGTATTGTATCTGAATCAATTGGAGACATCTGTCACACACACAAAGTGATTATACCACTTATACTTATGTACTAGGTCATAAAACAACTTGGAGAATTTCTCAGTTTGATCACAAGTGTGCTTGTTAGAGATCAGTGCCTGGATGAACTAAAATAAAGCACAAGACTTCGTGTACAATATCATTTATTGGTGAAAACTTAGTATTAATAGTGAATGATAAGTGTTCAATATCACCAAATGGTGAAAACTTAGTATTAATAGTGAATGATAAGTGTTCAATATCACCAAATGGTGAAAACTTAGTATTAATAGTGAATGATAGGTGTTCAGTATCACTAAATGGTGAAAACTTAGTATTAATAGTGAATGATAAGTGTTCAATATCACTAAATGGTGAAAACTTAGTGTAAAATATCATTTAACAGTGAAAATTTAGTATCCATATCTTTTAATGGTAAAAACTTAGTGTTCAATACCTTTTAATTGTAAAAGTTTGTGTACAGTATCACTTAATGGTGAATAGCTGTATAATGTTTGAGACTTTTCGGTTATCTTGTCTTTGTGATTGACATCATGATTTATTTAGGAATAGATAATAATGTTTATATCTGGTTTTCAATCAACTGTTATCACGTTCAGTTTAGATATAACAGCAGGGGAAACTGACTGGTTTTACACTTAGTTATTAGGGAATTATACTTAACTATATATTTGACAATTCATCTATGTGTTGTTTTCACAGTTGGCTGAAGGAAAAACATTCCAGACCCGGATCCCTAGATATTCTTTTCCAAAACAGGGCAGACTACCGTATAAAGTTCAGTATCAACAACCCTGCATTCCTCCCCAGTGGTCATGAAGTATCACCCGAATCAAATGGGATGATCATTGACGATACCCCAGATGATATCAGGTTGACGGCCAACGAAGCTCTAGCTAAGGAACTAGCCATTGAGAAATGTGACATTGTTGTTATAAACCCAATCTTTGGGTCACAAATGCCTTATAAGACAAATGTAAGTTAACTCATTTTTACCTTGTTATTTTCATTTCTATTTCATTTTAGCAGGTTCTGTGTTGCCTGCAAAAGCAGTCGNATATGGTAGAATCAAATACTCTTCATAGATGGAAGGGTCTTAAGGTGCTTTACCAAAATTGTGAATTTCTTGACCCTGGGGTCTCACGTTTCCCCCTGGGGAGGGGGTAAACTTTACTATAGTTTATATAGGGAAATCACATTTTGGACCAACATTTGTTTAATTTCCATTGGAGGTAATTCAATTTAGGTTAGCATTATCAGTATTGGGTAGCAGTTTGATGGTATGCACATATGAGCCCTGACTGACCCCCCGGGGCTATTGGGTGGGGCCAAAAAGGGTGGAATTGACTGAAATTTCAAAAATCTTCTTCTCAAGACCCCGATATGGATGACTCAAATACTCTTCATAGATGGAAGGGTCTTAAGGTGCTCTACCAAAATTGTGAATTTCATGACCCTTGGTTCTCATGTGTACCTCTGGGGAGAGGGTAAACTTTACTATAGTAATATAGGGAAATCACATTTTGGACCAACATTTGTTTAATTTCCATTGGAGGTAATTCAATTTAGGTTAGCATTATCAGTATTGGGTAGCAGTTTGATGGTATGCACATATGAGCCTTGACTGACCCCCGGGCTGATGGGAGGGGCCAAAAAGGGTTGAATTGACTGGAATTTCAAAAATCTTCTTCTCAAGACTCAGATATGGTAGAATCAAACACTCTTCATAGATGGAAGGGTCTTATAAGGTGCTCTACCAAAATTGTGAATTTTATGACCATGGGGTCTCACGTGTACCCCTGGGGAGGGGGTAAACTTTACTATAGTTTATATAGGGAAATCACATTTTGGACCAACATTTGTTTAATTTTCATTGGAAGTAATTCAATTTGGGTTAGCATTATCAGTATTGGATAGCAGTTTGATGGTATGCACATATCAGCCCTGACTGACCCCCCGGTGCTGATGGGAGGGGCCAAAAAGGGTTGAATTGACTGAAATTTCAAAAATCTTCTTCTCAAGACCCAGATATGGTAGAGTCAAACACTCTTCGTAGATGGAAGGGTCTTAAGGTTTATGACCCTTGGGTCTCACGTTTACCTCCTGGGGAAGGAGGGGGGGGGGCAAAATTTATTATGGTTTTTTATGGCAAATGATACATTGAATATTACATGTTAATAACTTGATTGGACTTATAACCCTGAGTTGACAGTTTGATACTTTGAAAGTTTTGAGCCAGCCCTTCCCCCAAGGGCTGTACGGTGGGGCCCAAAGGAGTCAGTGTGCTAAAATTTCTTCATTTTCCTTGTTTAGAATCAGAGGTGCTAGTTTCAAATACTTTTTAGTCTTAAATTTGTATGCTAGATATTGAATAAGGTGGTTTTATTGTTTTTTGTCACTGAATAATATTTCTGTTCGTGTTAAAAACAAAATCAACTCTCTGTATAAATATATCAGGTGACCGTTAAGGCCCATGGGCCCTTGTTGAAATACTTTTACAGAGACTGCTGCAATCATACCTAAATAGACATATTCACGAAAGATTATTTCTGTAATCAGATCAACAATACCACAGCAAGAATATGAGTGAATTATAAATGGTCAAGGAAAAACAGATGGGTATTTTGTTCATCATGTGCTTTTCCGGTATACATGTAAATTTGGTCTTTATCTCACTCAGTGTTGAATGTGAAACTAACACAAAATACATGTAATGATGAAAGGACATTTCTTTTTGCAAGTATTTAAACCATAAAATATTGTAAACGGATGAAGTCAATGTACAAAAAATGGCAAGTATGCGTTATTGATCAAACTTGTTGCAATGACATGTAATAAGAATTACAGAAACCCCCCAGATTTGTGATCTGTTTTACTGAAGGTGTTATATATGTTGATTGTTATCGTCAGGTAAATAACTTTGTGAGAAACATGTACTGGCCTTCCACACCACCCGACTACGACTCACGCCGTAGTAGCGACACCAGCTCCATCGAGGGGTAGGTACCACACTCTTTGCTGCACTATATATATAGTTTTTTAATGAATGCTTAACTTAGTGTAGTAAGTTCCATGTGATTTTAGCTCACCTGGCTAAAAAGTCATGTTTGTTTATTCCAATTGACACGGCATTTGGTATCCATACATCATAAACTTTTCCTTAAAAAGACTAATATTGCAGAACAGTGAAAGGAATTTTCTGTTCCTGGTATGGATCATTCCAGGAGAATTCATTGATGAAGAAATTGTGTAGTCTTCCTGGTGTTGGAATGGTGTGGCTCACTAGGGGGGTATTTAGGATATATGAAAGACTACTCCTTTAAAAGTGAAGTAATTTACCCTGATTTGATAGGAATGGGTAATGCAAGAAGATAGAAGATTCATTGTTGTATTAATAAAATATGTGCAAGGTGAAGGGCCAAATAAAGGAGATAGGGGATGGAGGGGTTAAGAATAGTCCCCCCCCCCCCCCCCCCCCCCCCCCTTCTCACACATACACCTTCCAAGTATGGTTTGACATATTTCAACTTGATTCTGTGTGAATCATCTTGTTTCATCATTAATTACAGCATTAAATAATTTACTTGTTTTGTCAACATGTACATTATTCCTTATTAGGTAAATACAAAAAATATGAGTTACACATGTCCCTTGGGTCATTGTTTTAAGATTGATATTGATTCCTTAACCACACCCTACATTTGACATGAGATATACTCAAGCCTATGAACGTAACCCTAATGGTTTAGCAAAGAAAGAATGATTCATCAAGGGAACTGTTGAATGTATGTAAAGTGACTGTAAAGCTATAGCTATCTGGCATAAGACACGGGTGAACTGTTGAATGTATGTAAAGTGACTGTAAAGCTATAGCTATCTGGCATAAGACACAGGTGAACTGTTGAATGTATGTAAAGTGACTGTAAAGCTATAGCTATCTGGCATAAGACACGGGTGAACTGTTGAATGTATGTAAAGTGACTGTAAAGCTATAGCTATCTGGCATAAGACACGGGTGAACTGTTGAATTTATGTAAAGTGACTGTAAAGCTATAGCTATCTGGCATAAGACACGGGTGAACTGTTGAATTTATGTAAAGTGACTGTAAAGCTATAGCTATCTGGCATAAGACACGGGTGAACTGTTGAATTTATGTAAAATGACTGTAAAGCTATAGCTATCTGGCATAAGACACGGGTGAACTGTTGAATTTATGTAAAATGACTGTAAAGCTATAGCTATCTGGCATAAGACACGGGTGAACTGTTGAATTTATGTAAAGTGACTGTAAAGCTATAGCTATCTGGCATAAGACACGGGTGAACTGTTGAATTTATGTAAAGTGACTGTAAAGCTATAGCTATCTGGCATAAGACACGGGTGAACTGTTGAATTTATGTAAAGTGACTGTAAAGCTATAGCTATCTGGCATAAGACACGGGTGAACTGTTGAATTTATGTAAAGTGACTGTAAAGCTATAGCTATCTGGCATAAGACACGGGTGAACTGTTGAATTTATGTAAAGTGACTGTAAAGCTATAGCTATCTGGCATAAGACACGGGTGAACTGTTGAATTTATGTAAAGTGACTGTAAAGCTATAGCTATCTGGCATAAGACACGGGTGAACTGTTGAATTTATGTAAAGTGACTGTAAAGCTATAGCTATCTGGCATAAGACACGGGTGAACTGTTGAATTTATGTAAAGTGACTGTAAAGCTATAGCTATCTGGCATAAGACACGGGTGAACTGTTGAATTTATGTAAAGTGACTGTAAAGCTATAGCTATCTGGCATAAGACACGGGTGAACTGTTGAATTTATGTAAAGTGACTGTAAAGCTATAGCTATCTGGCATAAGACACGGGTGAACTGTTGAATTTATGTAAAGTGACTGTAAAGCTATAGCTATCTGGCATAAGACACGGGTGAACTGTTGAATTTATGTAAAGTGACTGTAAAGCTATAGCTATCTGGCATAAGACACGGGTAAACTGTTGAATTTATGTAAAGTGACTGTGTAAAGCTATAGCTATCTGGCATAAGACACAGGTGAACTTGAATTTATGTAAAGTGACTTCGTAAAGCTATAGCTATCTGGCATAACACACAGGTGAACTTGAATTTATGTAAAGTGACTGTGTAAATCTATAGCTATCTGGCATAAGACACGGGTGAACTGTTGAGGGTATGTAAAGTGACTGTAAAGCTATAGCTATCTGGCATAAGACACTCTGTTAAATGACTAATGTAAATGAGCACTAAACGTTGGAGTAGATTACTAATCATAGGACTTATTATAGTCTCCTGGAAACATGAGATGCCTCAGGGGAACACAAGTACTTATCTCCCTAAAATCTTGTCAATTAGAATACTATTTCACTTAAGTGGCAGACCTTAAGATACATGTATTTTCATTATTGCATGTTACATCTAAACTTACAATGTATTTGTATTCTTGTATTAAGTCACACTTCTCAACATCTATATGATATTCAACAAATAGTTATAAAATATCTTTATGTATTTTGGCCTCAGCCATTTAATCTTCATATACAGAAAATCTTCTTAAACATGCCATCATTTGCTTGCAAATTAATGTCATTATAATGAGTTGTTAAACATTTAAAGAAGACTATCTGAAACTAAGATTAATAAGAATATTATCTGGAAAAAGCAAGCTAAAAAACCTAAGTGAGTGTAAATGACAGATAGATTAAATGAAGGACATTGTATTGTATACTGAAGTCTTATCTATGTAATATTTAAGAGTGGGAATCGGGACGTTTCTCAGCAGTATGGATGACCAGTATCAACTCCACAAGTATGCCTCTGAGGGCAACTGTGACCTGCTGCTGGAGCTGATTAACCGAGGGTTCCCCGTCAACGACACAGACATCAAGTACCTCACACCTTTACACTATGCCTCAGCGTAAGTCCCTCACACCTTTACACTATGCCTCAGCGTAAGTACCTCACACCTTTAAACTCTGCCTCAGCGTAAGTCCCTCCCACCTCTACACTATACCTCAGCATAAGTCCCTCACACCTTTACACTATGCCTCAGCGTAAGTACCTCACACCTTTAAACTATGCCTCAGCGTAAGTCCCTCACACCTCTACACTATACCTCAGCGTAAGTCCCTCACACCTTTACACTATGCCTCAGCGTAAGTCCCTCACACCTTTACACTATGCCTCAGTGTAAGTCCCTCACACCTTTACACTATGCCTCAGTGTAAGTCCAGCACGTTCACAAGTTACTCCTGCTTCCTATTATTTCATTGTAAACATCAATATACACATATTTCCACACATCGTCAGTCATTTTCAGCTTGTCACAGGATGTTTTAGCACCTTACGTATCTATTACATGTAAGAATATACAGTTTTAATACTAAGTATATTTAGTGATAATCCTAATTTAGTGCGAAGAAATGCTAAATTGATATTATAATTATATATATATAATTAACCCTTTCACCACTGTAGACCATAATGGACTCATCTAGATCAATACATGGTAGAGTCTACTAAAGTTACATAGGGGTGAAAGGGTTAAGTGTCTCTCCATTATTGTCACTAACAACGGTGATTTGAAACGTTTTTCTGGAGGCGCAGGAGAAATTTTTCGGACTGCTTTGTTCTGAACATTTAGGCAACACTTGGAATATCTTGGTTTTTAAATAACCTTCAATTAACAGTGCTGAATGTAAATTTTACAATTTTTCTCAGGTTTTGAATTTTCTGTTTATTTGAATAAATTGGAATTACTGCAATAACAACCTTATAGAAATAGAAAAAAATGCAGCTGTAAAAAGTCAGACAAACACAGGAATGGTAAAGTGATTCCATTGATATAACTGGTTTGTTAGGAATGGAAAGTTTAATTGGGTACTAATTTGATGTGATGTTACATTCCAGTCGGGGTCATAAGGATGCAGTTCAAGTATTACTTCGAGCCGGGGCAAACCCCAATGCCAGAACGGACAACAAGGCCACAGCACTACACCTGGCCACAATGTACGGAAACGTCCATGTGGCAGAGGTATTGTTACGTCACCCTGAGATCAACATGGTGTGTACAGAGTGCAAACTTTTTATATGTACTATGATAATCATGAGAAATTGTTAAGTTTGGGATGATAGTTATAAATAATCCTGTATAATTGTCATTCTGACTTTTCAGCTTGTTTACCAGGTTGTGAATTTGGTGAGGCTTCAACGTTTTATTATTTAGCATACGAGTCATTCTTTTGTGCACAAGGTATCTTTGTTGTTGATAAACATTTTACAAGTTTTATTCTAATAGAAGTACTAGTATGTGTTACAAAGTGAAGGATAAATATGCTAAATCTTTGATTCAACAGGACATTCAGGATAGACATGGTAAGACGGCCCTCAATTATTGTGAGGAGACACAGTACTGGGCACAGAAACGCATTGGGGAACTTATCAGGGCAGCATCTAATTCAAATGTAAGTTTTAACTGGGCACAGAAACGCATTGGGAAAACTTGTCTTACCAGGTAATCAAATAAAAATAACAATTCTCTATAGGAAAACTCTCCCTCTAGATCGCTGTGTTCTATTTACACCTGTCTTCACATTACCTTAACGTGCTATGTTAGCACGAAAAAAAAATTTAAACCAAAAAAAAAAAAAAATTGTGGTAAGAAAATAATTATGCAGTTTAGTTCTGTGAAAATAAGAGAGAAAGTACATAATGATTGTACTCTGGTGACATTATTGGTAAGTTTACCAGTTTGAAGTGAACAATTTGTAGCCTTCTGTTGCTAGCAACTAAGTAAAGGATTGAATTAAGTTGATACTCTGTGGGAAGGGTAAAATAGATTTGTTGACATTTTGTGTGGATGATGAAGAGAAAATAGTAGACAGGGATTTGAATCTGGTGTAATTGTTATTGGGTGCTATGATGACACAAGATGCTTTTTTCCTTAAGACTCAGGAGATTGAGATCAACCTCACAGACAAAGCAGTAAAGAAGTTAAAACTAGTCAATGGCACAAACACCACCGTAAAACAACTAAACCTACAACTCTTCAGGGTAAGTCTCCGTTAGGCTACACCAAATTGATAGGTACTTCTTTGGAAATAAGTTCATAAATTTAAAGCAAGATATTGGAAACTTTTATCATTTAATTTCCATTTTTAGCTCACGTATTCAGAGAATAGGGGGGGCTGATGTAGTCACCCCTGCCTTGGTGTTGGCATCCCTGTCTGCATCGGTGTCGGCATCCAACTTCAAGTTTTAAGTATTTGAGAAAGCATTTTCAGACAGTGTTAGATAAAAATGCTGTTGACTATTATAAGGCTGAGGCATTTATACTGAGTGTAAGCGACGTGCTGAACCCTTTTTTCATATTTTGGGGCCCAAAACAGCTTAATTGGACTTGGTTTAAGTTTTGGAGCGAGATTGTTTTTGTGCTGTGTTAGATCACCACTCAATAAACTGTTGACTACATCTGTTATAACTTTGAGGCATATACACATGTATAAGGCCTGCAAGCAATGTGCTGAACATGTTCATATTCTAGGTGCCAAAAGGGTTTAATTCAAAAACACCTTCCTGTGCAACATTTATAATGCCATGCAACTTTAAAGATTTCATTTACTATAAATCAATTTCAAAGCTATTTTATTGTAATGGTATTATATTATACATCTCTATATGACGCTGTAACTTTACAGTAGCCCATGTTTTGTATGGTTACTCATATTATAAATCTACCAAAAGTTATTCTCAGAATAATTGAGTTAAGTAACCTTCAACATGTTAAGTATTGGTATTGATACTTACTTTAACTGTATCATGATAGGCTAGCTATGCTGTTCTCCATCAGCTCTTGTAAACAATTGGAGGAAGTGATTTGGGTGTATATTTTATTGCCATGTATGCTATGTAGAAATGAGTCAATATATCTTTTGTTGACATGACTCTATATATATACTTAGTTGACAATAGTCATTGTGAACATTGTTGACATGAGTCATTGTGAACTTTGTTGACATGAGTCATTGTGAACATTGTTGACATGAGTCATTGTGAACTTTGTTGACATGAGTCATTGTGAACATTGTTGACATGAGTCATTGTGAACTTTGTTGACATGAGTCATTGTGAACATTGTTGACATGAGTCATTGTGAACTTTGTTGACATGAGTCATTGTGAACTTTGTTGACATGAGTCATTGTGAACTTTGTTGACAATAGTCATTGTGAACATTTTTGACATGAGTCATTGTGAACTTTGTTGACATGAGTCATCGTGAACATTGTTGACATGAGTCATTGTGAACTTTGTTGACATGAGTCAATCAATACTTTGTTGATAAGATACGTTGTATAATTTGTTGAAAGGAGTAAATGTATAATTTGACATGAGTCAATTTAAACTAGACCATACTTAGACATTGTTGAACCTGATGTTCGATAAAGACATGATGTATTTTTCACCAATGTATGTTTTTCAACAGGAGTATAATATGTCTGAGGAGGTGTTTTCTGAGATCTTCACAATTTGGATTTGCTCCAACAGTTTAGGTAACTTGATTTCCCTTGTCAATGGCCTTGTATTCACCACATATATTTACATTTGCACTGCAACACACTATATGAACATTACCAGCAGAAATGCATTTCATTTGAGTATGAAAGCAAAAACTCTCGTGACGGAACTTGTGGTTTACTTATGACGTCATAGATTTACCTTGTTCAATGAGAGTCTTGTCGCTTTGGATAACATGGAGAATGCCTCTGCGTCAAACGCTCGAATGACAACGGATCATTATTGAGGCAAATTTTATTTAAATACGGCTGTTCCGCCAGTGTTGTTTAAAGGATGAGGCGAATACAAAATGCAATAAATAAATAAATTGTTTAAGAACAAATAAATGAAATAAAATAATTGTTCTATAGTAAAAATGGAAATATATGGATTCGGTCACATCCATATTAAACATGAAGCCTAGCTAGCAGGCTTCATGCAATATGGATGCAACCAATTTGCGTTCATACCGGCAAGAAAATTTTAAAAAAACACCGTTCAATCCCTATGTATTTGAGAAAACTTTAATTAATGAATCTTTCAAATTTTGAATAGAGCTATTTTATCTTTTATTGTTGAATGAAAATTGTTGTGACAGTCTCTTACAAATTGAACACTGCATAGTCAATACCAACCACACAAGTGCATGTAGTAGGATTTTACAAAATACAACAATTAATACAGAACTCACAATAGTTGATAATACCTGTGAATGACTTAGCTGACAACTGGCGATACATGAAATGCAATGTTTTCTTATTCAAACAAAATATTTTATCAGTGCTATAAACTCGAGTTCATGAGGTACATACATATGCACTATTCCACGATTGAAAGGTTTGTAAGGAAAGTTATTTCCAGTATACATTTACTATATACAATTTCACTATTATTGCAATGTTTCTATCGATTGTTCCAATTTGTACATACCTGGTATGATATATTATATATATGCTCCCAGTATAAAGGCTTTGGTGAACGTAAATGCATCTTGTGATCAAGATAAAGTGTTTTGCTAACTTCTTTCATTTTGATTTATTTCATAATTCATGATAATTTCCGTATAATTCAATAGCAACATGCACATCTATTTTGCATGATATTTGGCTGGTAGCTTCCTTTGACAGAGCCCAACAAGAACACAGAGGTAAAATGTAAAAAACTACAAAAACCTTCTTCTGAAGATTGAAAAGGCCTTGAATCATGTTTTTAGGCTTAATGTAGTATCCTTGGATAGAGGCCAATAAAAGTGACCTTGACCTACGTCCAAGGTCACATATCAATTATGTCAAAAACATCTTCTGAAGAATCGATATTTCATGATACTTTAGTGGTAGCTTCCTTGGTTGGAGCCCAACAATGTTAATGAACAAAAATGTACCTTGGCCTCCTCTCAAGGTCACTCATGTGAAATATGTCAAACATTCTAACAACTTCTTAAGATTAGAAAGACTTTCTATTATGTTATTAGGCTGGTAGCTTCCTTGGATGGACCCCAATACATTTTGAGAATAAAAATTACCTTGACCTACTTTCAAGGTCACATGGGTCAAATATGTCAAAACATCAAACAACTTCTTCATAAGAACCGAAAGGACTAGAATCATGATATTTGATTGGTAACTTCCTTTGATGGAGCCCAACAAAGTTTGCATAAAAAATGACCTTGGCCTACTTTAAAGGTCACAGAGGTCAAATATGTCATCAATTTCGAACAACTTTTTCAGAAGAACCAAAAGACCTAGAATGTTTTTTGCTTTTGTAGAGCTACAGTTGAGACAAGACCACTGTCCTATAATTGAGTTACAAGTGTGGAATAGAAATGTGAAGATGTTGACTGATGCCAATCCTGGTAGCGAGGTTCCACAGTTGAGATGGCGGCGGAACGCAAAGATCGGACTCAAGGAGGAAAAAGGGGTAATCTTAACATCATAATCCTGTTTATGAAATTGAAAGAAAAAATAAACAGTTAAAGAAACCATTGCCACTAGTTTTGGTCACCGAGTCATTCAGGTGACTGACTGCCACTGCCTTTTGTCCGCTGTCGTCTGTCCTTGGTCATGCTCGAACAATCACATATCAGATTTTTATGAAACTAGGTGATAATCGTAAGCATGTGTATATTGGTTGGTATCAAAATCTTACCTGGAGATAGGGCTGCCCCTCCAGGGGGATGTATGGTGGAGCCATAATAGATCACACAGAGTGCAAAACCTCTCAAAGATTTCATCTGTGAAATTTACAGGTGGATTTTCACAAGCATTTCATAGAATAATGCTTAGATGATGAGTATCAGAATGTGTATACAAGAAGGGTCTGACTCTCTCATTGGGGCTCATAGGGGGTCACCTAGTGCAAAACCTGAAACAATCACTAACAATCCTATTTTAAACTTCTCTTTAGAAACTGTTCATTAGATTTTTATGAAACTTGGTGTTTATCATCCGTCTGAGGTAAGAAACAGAATCTATTCTCAAGAAGGGGCTGACTTCCCAAGGGGCTAAGGCGCAGGGCCATAATAGATCACACAGAGTGCAAAACCTTCAAAAGATTTCATATGTGAAACTTACAGGTGGATTTTCACAAACAATCATAGAATAATGCTAAGATGAGGATCAGAATGTATATACAAGAAGGGTCTGACCCTCTCATTGGGGTTCATAGGGGGTCACCTAGAGCAAAACCTGAAACATAGTATTTTTGACTTCTTTCCAGAAAGTATCTGTCAGATTTTGATAAAACTAGTTGGTAACGATCAACCTGAGATAGGGATCAGAATTTATACTCAAGATTGGTCTGAACCTCTGGGGCCTGAAATTTCAACATTCTTTGTGAATGAAAAGGTTGAAAGGTGCAAAGATCAAAACATGAATTTTAGTACCCCCATGTCACCCATTCTTCCCCCTTTCTCCCTGAGCAGGGGGTACTGTTTAATATGGTTTATATAGGGAGTTCAAATTATTGGGCATATTTTGTTGATTTTCAATGGGAAATGATTCAAACTTAGTTGGAATTCCTATCGTATGATTGCGGTTTAACTTTTCCCTCTTAAGTGGGTAAAATTTACGTTATTACAGTATTATTTTATTATTTTACTGACATTTACTAGCTCTCTATATAAATGTAGGTCACTCCCCAACATAATTTTGTCCACAGTTAGAAAGACGCTATAGGTTATATGTACTTTTAGTTTTTGTCACATCACAATAATGAGTACAATTGTATTTTAAATCAAGTGACCGCTAAGGCCCATGACCTTCTTGTTTTTATTTAGATTGTGTATCAAATGTAATTTATTACTGTGTAACAGAAACAAACCCTGTTTTATCTGTAAAAGTGTGTATATAAACATACACATTCCAGTAGGTTCCATAGATGTAAATGTATCCTGAATAACCAGGAAACTTAAAGATTATTAATGAAAGTTATTAATGAAAGTTATCCTATAAACAGGTTTTGTTTCATATTATGCAAAAATACTGTCAAATGTTAAAACTAAAACTAAAACTACCTACCATAAGGTAGTTTGTATGGCTATATTGAGACATCATTGACAATATGTGTTATATAGGTGACCCATCCGCAGGCAGTGCACATCTTGTTCCACGAGGCTTACAACAACTACATCCAGGCACTTTACCCCTGTAAGGACCAGGATGTACTCACCTTCGCCTCTATCCTCATCTATAAGGAACAGAAGGGAGAGTTTGACTCGGCATCAGCTAAGAGCCATGTCACTAGGTAACTTACATTATAGCTAAGAGCCATGTCACTAGGTAACTTACATTATAGCTAAGAGCCATGACACTAGGTATCTTATATTATAGCTAAGAGCCATGTCACTAGGTACCTTACATCATACCTAAGAGCTATGTCACTAGGTACCTTACATCATAGCTAAGAGCCATGACACTAGGTACCTTACATCATAGCTAAGAGCCATGTCACTAGGTAACTTAGATTATAGCTAAGAGCCATGTCACTAGGTACCTTACATTATAGCTAAGAGCCATGTCACTAGGTACCTTACATTATAGCTAACAGCCATGTCACTAGGTCACTTATATTATAGCTAAGAGCCATGTCACAGGGTTCCTTACATCATAGCTAAGAGCCATGTCACTGGGTATCTTATATCATAGCTAAGAGCCATGTCACTAGGTACCTTACATTATAGCTAACAGCCATGTCACTAGGTCACTTATATTATAGCTAAGAGCCATGTCACAGGGTACCTTACATCATAGCTAAGAGCCATGTCACTATGTACCTTACATTATAGCTAAGAGCCATGTCACTAGGTATCTTACATTATAGCTAAGAGCCATGTCACTAGGTATCTTACATTATAGCTAAGAGCCATGTCACTAGGTACCTTACATTATAGCTAACAGCCATGTCACTATGTACCTTACATTATAGCTAAGAGCCATGTCACCAGGTACCTTACATCATAGCTAAGAGCCATGTCACTAGATACCTACATTATAGCTAAGAGCCATGTCACTAGGTACCTTACATCATAGCTAAGAGCCATGTCACTAGGTATCTTACATCAAAGTGAGAAGAACAATTGTCATCTTTCCCAAACAGAAAGAAAAATCTTAAATTCAATAAGACATATATGTGTCATGAACCATTTTGACTCTTTCAAAATACAATGTTGGCATTTTTCAATTTCAACTTCAGGACAGTTGGCATCAGCAAGAGTTATAAAAATTTGGATTTTTTTTTTAAAAAAAACAATATTTTTTTCATTAAAATCATCACTACTTAAAAGCTGACAGTTCAAGCTTTCGACTAAGATCTTTTAAAAACCCATTAATTTCCAGTTTTCCTACTGCTTTTGATTCCTCAAAATGTCTGTGGTGTCACAGTTGTCATTTATTGACTGATTTCTTATAATTCTTTACCTGTGGAAATTTCCCCCCTTTGTTTTCTCAAACTGTCTGTGTCATGAAAATTTTATCGTTATGTGCACGGTTCCTCAAACTAGCTGAAGGTTGGAAATTTCATGTTAGCATTGCTGCAATATATATTTCAGTGTGGGTCAATAGTTATTTTTGTCTCACTGCCACAAAGTGGAAGCGAGACTTAGGTTATGCTTTCCCGGCGGCGGCGGCGGCGGCGGCGTCAGCATTAAGTTTTTGTGTTTAAGTTAGTTTCTCTGAAAGCATAAGTGCTACACCAACCAAACTTGGACCATAGATGCATCTTAGGTAGTACATCTCAACCCATACATCAAATTCTGGATGCGGCCTACCTTTCATAGTCCATTGACTTTGTCAGCATCTCCATCAACATTAAGTTTTTGTGTTTAAGTTAGTTTCTCTGAAAGTAAAAGTGCTAGATCAACCAAACTTGGACCATAGATGCATCTTAGGTAGTACATCTCAACCCATACATCAAATGCTGGATGCGGCATACCTTTCATGGTCCATTAACTTTGTCAGCATCTCCATCAACATTAAGTTTTTGTGTTTAAGTCAGTTTCTCTGATATGTGCATTGATGGTCAAAGCGGGACACGGGCGAGACATATTTATTGGAATGGCTTGTTTTTACTTCTTTAGTAAAGAATAAGTTCGGTCAAATTTCCACACTGATGATTTAACAGGAAATAAGACGGTAGGATTGTACAATAGTTATAAGATGACATTTTGCTGCCCACAGTAAGAACCTGCAGAAGTTGGTGCCAGGACCAATGCTGAAGGCTAAGAGTAGCAACTGGGCATCCCGGATCCTTCACCACTATAAGGACTTTTGTCCTCACCTGGCTGACACACTGGAGGTGCGCAACAGCACACATCAACAGCGAGATCAGGCACGTATAATGGATAGGAGTTTTTTCAATATTTTTCAAATTGCAGATCTGGATGAAGACCTATTTTTTGGTGAGAAATGTGGTGAGGAAGGAACACCTTGGGATTACAGTATTCCCGCTGTCGTGAAAAAGGAGTTGCCCTGAAAATTTGATGAATAAGTTTGTCTGCATTGTGAGAAATCACAGAAGTATGTGCCTCCAGGGATCCCCCTGGGTTCAAATTGTAAGGGGATTTTCCTCCCATGAATTTCATGAGAGGGGGATATTTTGAAAATGGATGAGATATTTTCGAGCATGTCATTTTTGAGCGAAGCTCTGTGGTGCATTCTGAGTTTTTTTCAGGGGAAAAGTTTGTTTGAACATGTACAAAAAGTTTTGGATAAATTTATTTATTTATTTCTATTCTTTTGCATTTTAGTCTCCTTTTTTTCTTCATATTATGTTTTAACCAATCAGAAAATGCCTTCAGGATATCTGGCTACACAACATAGAAAGTTAAAACTTTAAAATCTGAAAGGATACAAAATATTAACAAAATCACAAAACACATTTGACTAGATTTTTAGCAATTTTATTCAAATCACCCTGCGTCCGTGGTCCGCGGTCCGTCCGTCGTCCGCCGTCCGGCCTCCATCCTTAATCGTTAGGCATATTGAGGTTTGGATCATCTTAACGCTTCACTTTGATAGACGTTTAATGAGCAACGACTTACTGTACTTCTGCTTTGAATTTGCATGAGTAACGATGTTCAGTCTGACGTGATTGTTGATGACATTATAAGTTTTAATATTAAGATTGTGTATACCGAGAAAGTATGCAATCCAAAGACAAAGACCATGAGATATTTAATCCTATTCTGATTCCCACTAACAGCAGAAATAAGTAAAACTGTGTATTTACTGAAAAGTTTAACATTAACAGGGTTTTGATGTATATTTGATATTTTCAGGCATTGAAGCGCCAGTTTCTGGAATTCTGCAGACACCTTACAGTCTACGGTTCTGCATTCTTCAGGGGCATGCTTCTGTCTATCCAAGGAAAGGTAGGCCCTCAAAAGATATATCAAAGATAGGCCTTCAATAACATGGAAAGGAAGGACATGAAACACAAAACTATTAATGACCAGGAAATTTAGGCTCTCAGAAACTATCTATCACTAGGTAGGGTCGGCCTTCAGATCTATGAATTACAGAAACTATCTATCACTAGGTAGGGTCGGCCTTCAGATCTATGTATTACAGAAACTATCTATCACTAGGTAGGGTCGGCCTTCAGATCTATGAATTACAGAAACTATCTATCACTAGGTAGGGTCGGCCTTCAGATCTATG